CAGGATGACGGAAGGCCAGCAGTGAGAGGAGTCCTGAGGCCTGAATGGGGCTGCACAGGAAGCAGAGAGAGGAGCATTGTTCATGAAGGAGAAAGCAGATAAAGGCAGGTGACGAGATTCCCAAGCCACAAGGAGTCTACCGCCTTGCGTCCAGTGCCAAGCAAGGTGGCACTGGATCCCAGCACTCAGGAGCCTGATGCAAGATAATTGGCCCCATGTTCAAGGCCATTGAACACTGCCATTGTGTTACTTCATTTAACTATACTGACTGACTTCAGCAGTGGCCAGTTCCCATTAAAAAACAAAGGTTGAAATGTTATTTACATAGTAGCCTGTTTCTCAATTACTTAAAAACCTCTCACAAGTAGAATAAATCAGGTAATCCTCCTAACAGCCACAATTACTTAACAATCAAGAATGGTTTAAACCCCCCTTTGGGGGAGTCTAACAATCCTTTTACAGGGGTCACATATCAGACATCCTGTATATCATATATTTGCATTACTATTCATAACAGTAGCTAAATTACAGTTATGAAGCAGCAATGAAAATAATGTTAAGGTTGGGGTTCACCACAGCATGAGGAACTGTTAAAGGACCGCAGCATTAGGAAGGCTGAGAAGCACAAATCTTCAGTGACCGTGGTTCAGATCGATGAAGTTTGTTTTTTGGTTTTTGTTTGGGGGGGTTTCCCTGTGGGCTTGAGTGTCCCGGTTGCCACATCTTTCTGCCTGGTTTCCAGCTCAGCCTCGGAATTTACCAACAACTTAAATCAGTTCTCTAACCTCTCTTGAGCTTGCTGATCAGACAGTAATACCTATCTTGCAGGGTTTGAAGGGACCAAAATTGGATGTGACCTGTTCACATGGGACTTAGCACTTGTTGGGATTCCTTGCTTATTACTCTGTTCTACAGTTGTCAGAATATGTGGGTCACCAGGCCATTCCCCTTTAAAAATGTGGTAAAGCCGGAGTTTCCACATTTTGTTTTTACCTAAGAAAACAGTTTTAGATACATTTCAAGCCGACACAAGCCAATAATACAATACAATACAAGCCAGTCTTCAGAGGTGAATTCATGGAAACAAACACACGTGGTCTGTGCTGCTTTCATAGGACTGTGTCGCCAGAGAAAAACCTCCAGTATTTAACGAGAGCTCAGATTTATGGTGGAATGTGACTTTCTGTATCTTTTTAGAAATTTGGGTTTTTTAAGCCTCATGTTATAGCCCAGCCTGTTGTGAAACTGACTTGGGTAACACAGGCTGCTTTAGAACTTGCCCTGTTCCTCCTGCTTGAGGCTCCCAAATGTAGGGATGACAAACGAGAGGCCCCATGTCCACTGACTGGCATTTAAAGGTTCAGTCTTTGAAGCTCTTAGTGAAGGCGGATGCAGAACATCAGTGGATATTTTATTTAAAAGCTTTAAGAATAAGGAAAATTCTGTTCAACCCTCAACATGCTTTAATTGTAGTGATAAAAATTCACTTAGCATTTGTATAGTTTTCTAATCAATTACAGACTGCTCCTTTCAGACGCCTCACAAAAGCCCTGTAAGACACAGCAATGCTTTTTTACAGACCGTGTAGCATAACTTACTAGTAACCAGCCACACCCACCGAGGCTACAAACACCGTTTGTTCCTTCTTCCAAAGAACTTGTGTGGCACTCAGGCCAGCTTACAGCTGCCGCTCACTGCCTGTGCTTGCAATCTACCCTAAACAACCCCTACCTCCCCCTTAATTTCCTGTGTTTAAAGGGTAAGTGGGCCTCTGATATTACTGCCCTACGCAAGCACGTCAAATCAAAGGCTTGGCCTCAAAGGCTGGGACTGTCTGAGATACGTAATCACCCACTCTTTGAGTGTGGTAGGAACGTTCTTGCTGAGTGTGTTCTCTGCCCTCCTCATCAGTAGGAACAAGTAGGTCTGAATACCATACAATTGTCAACACAGTGAAACATTCAGATGATTAAGAACAACTTGGAAAGGAATAGGTTTATTTCAGTTATGATCCACCATTGTGGGGAGTCACAGCAGGAGTTCAGAGTAAGAGCTTGAAGCAGAAACTGTGGAGGAAGAAATGCTTGCTGTCTTGCTCTTCCGCACACGCTCTGCCAGCTTTCTTATAGTCGAGGCCCGCCTGCCAAGGGACGCTGCTGCCTGCAGTGGGCGGGGCCCTTCTGCACACGCTAACAACCAAGACAGCCCCCAGATGTGTTCACAGTGTCATACAGGCAGCTCGTCAACCGAGCTGTCCTCTTCCCTGACATGTCAAGTTGACAACCATCAGGCTTCAGCCTAGGATGGCTTCAACTCTCCGTCTTCCTGACCCAGCCTCCCAAGTGCTGGACCGCAGGCACATGTCACCACTTTCGGCAGAAGGTATTCTTTTCTTTTAATACTCATTTATTTTTATTTTATGTGTATGAGTGTTTTGCAGGCATGTGTGTCTGTGCACATGTGTGCAGTACCCAAGGAGGCAAGAAGAGGGCGTCAGATAACATGGACCTGGAGTTACATGGATGTGAGCTGCCGTGTAGGTGCTAGGAAACTAACCCAGGTCCTCTGGAAGATCAGCCAATGCTCTGAACTGCTGGCACATCTCTCCAGCCCATAAATGATTCTTTGAGTTTGGTAAAACTTTCTCCCAAATGTCTCTCCATATTTCACTCTAAAATGAAGCCAATTATACCATTTATCTCACTACTTTTTACTCTGTTTGCAATATGGCTTTCTTTGTGTGATACAATTAATATGATGTGGGGGCCTCAGGCCTTCTCAAAAGAACATGACTTTATTTAATAAACTGTAACTAATATTAAAAAAAATTTAAAAATTTTAAAAAAAGAACATGACTTTATGCTCTGGATCCTCACAATGTTATTCTTTTTTTTTTTCTTTTTAAGAATAATTTATTTTTTATTTTATGTGCATGGGTGTTTTGTCTGTGTGTCTGTCTGTGTGAGGATATTGCGTCCCCTGGAACTGGAGTTACAGATGGTTGTGAGCTGCCGTGTGGATGCTGGGAATTGAAGCCAGGTCTTCTGGAAGAGCAGCTCTTAACTGCTGGGCCCTCTCTCCAGCCCCTCACAGTGTTCTTGACACCCTCACTTTCATGATCAAGGCAACGAAAGGCGGTTCCCCAGCACTGCCTGGATTGTGCTGCTTTGCCTGTCAGTACTAACCAACTGCTTCTTATTTCCCCAAACCAGTACTGATTGGTTTTCCATCTTTGCACAGTAACTTTACCTCTTTATTGTTGTAATGACCAGTAATTTTGTCTAACATAATGACCTAAGGAACATGTGAGGAACAGAAAGATGTGATAGGATTCTTGCCATTAAGGAATTCCCAGCTGAACAGCCCAGACAAGCATATAAACAATAACTACAGCACAGCAGATACAACACAGCAGAGGAAGGGGTAATTAACTCGGGGTTGGGGATGGGAAAAGGGATGACGGCTTACTGGGGTAAAACAGTGACGTGTCCAGAACCCCAAGCTGTTACATGTCAGAGTGAGGTCTGTAAGTGCAAGGCTGACAAGAGGACTGGAGATTCTGAGTGTCATGCTAACTTTTCCACTTCCTGGCCCAAGCCATTTCATCCATTAAATGGCTGTAATTTTCTTTAAAATGATGTACCATCAGCACATAGTTCTAAAGATTAGTTTACATTATATTTTATTCCATAGTCCTAAGAGTTTGTTTCACACGATTGTGTAGTTTTTCAGATGCTTTGTTTTAAAGTCAAAATTTGTAGACCAAATGTTAAAAAGGGGGCGGGGGGGCAGGAGGGTAAAGCCAAATGAATAACAAAATGCTTGCCACACAGACAGACAGGGCTGGGTGTTTACATGGAGACCAGATGTTTCTTCAAAGCTCAGGACTGTCCTCTTTGTTTTCATTTCTATTCATAATGATGAAGGAAATGTATTAGATGTAGGATATTAGTTTAAATCCAAAAGGGGATAAAAATGGAAGGAAATGGATTCATGCTGGCATAGCTCTCTGTGGAGCACTTCATTTTCATGTGAGAAGCTGGTGTGAGTGCTCACTGCCATGGAGCTGTTCCACCACGTGAGTGTTAGTGTGACGGTGCACGAGCTTACTCTGACCCTTCTTCCTCATCTGCTTCTTAACCTTCTTCCTGTGCTCAGTCAATCAGCAACAGTTCCATGCCGGCCTCTGCCGGCCTCTGCCAAGCCAGGCCAGCCCTTACCTGGAGTTAATTTCCTGTGCTTTCTTACTCAAAAGATAACCAACCCAGGTCTATTTCTGCTTGATAATCCTTAATTGCCTTCCATGTGAGATAAATATTACAGAAAATGAAGCTATTTGAATTAATATTTCTAAAACGTTGAGGACGTTTTCTCCAATTGCGAAGCAATTTCCCTTTTTCTCTTCATTTGGACACAAGTGCATTCCTGGAGAGCCTGAGTCCTCCTGGAGGGACACTTCGAATGCATGGCAGTTTTGCTTTTACGTTTCATCTACATCTTGTTCTTCTCTTTTCTTTGATGATTTCTGTCTAGCAAGTACAATTTCGTACCTTTATAGTGTTTAAACTTATATAAACTGTATTTTTAAGAATCTTATCTTGCTCACTCAATAAAAAGTATTGGCTTTTAATTTTTTTTTTTTGATGTGTGTCTTTCATATCACTTAAGGGCGATATAGTCACTTAAATAAAATTCTAAGTAGTAAAGCTCTTTTGTTGGAAAAGGAACTTGTAAGTCATTCTCATTCTGCTTTAAGGCTGACAACAGTATTTCTCTGAGTTGGGTAAATCACCTGCACTGTGGCCTGGGATTATCCACAGTCATAACACCGTGAAGGCAACCCATCTCACCTCAAGTAGGAAATACATAATACCTGTTAGTGTGGCGTCCTCGAAATCAGGCTGTCTCTCCTAGTCACGAATGCTATCACACGTAGATAGAAATAAACTAGAATTCAACATTACCAATATGAACATTTTTCTTCATTCTTGGTATTTCAGCTTCAACAAACCCAGAAGTCATCAAGATAAATTCAGTTCTGGATATAGTTGCCAAAGTGGAAGACTATTATCTCAAGGGCTTTGTTGTTGGGGCCATTCACCCAGTTATCCAGCCTGTGGGGCAGCAAAAACACCTCCCGGCAAGTCACCTCTACAGGGCGGTGCTGTCGCGCCGGAAATTAAGGTAAGCACGGTGCTTGAGAGAAGTCACCTCTCAGGCTATTGAGAGTGATGGTTTTTTTCTTTTTCTTTTTTCTTCTTTTTAATTTTTTTTTAATTTTTATCATTTATTCAATTTGTATCCCAGCTGTGGCCCCCTCCTTCATCCCCTCCCAATCCCACTGGTCCTCCCTTTTCTCCCCCATGCCCCTTCCCTAGGGGAGGTCCTCTTCCCCTTCCCTCTGACCCTAGCTTATCAGGTCTTATCAGGACTGGCTTCTTTGTCGTCTTCTGTTGCCTGGTAAAGCTGCTCCCCTAGACAGCCCCTGTTCCCCTTAACTAGGGAACCCACTTGGAGACTGAGTCTGTGGGCTACATCTGAGCCAGGGTTTTAGGCCCTCTCCATGCATTGTCCTTGGTTAATGGTTTTCTTTAATCAACTTTTTGTTTATTACTGCTGCTGCTGCTGTTGTTGAGACAGGGTTTTTCTGTGTAGCTCTGGCTGTCCTGGACCCTCTTTATAAACCAGCTGGCCTTGAGCTCACAGAAATCTGCCTGCCTCTGCCTCCCACAATGCTGGGATCATAGCTGTGTGCTACCGCCACCACCTAGGTGGGTTTTCTTTAACCTAAAAGAAAAGATGTTGAAAGAGTAATGGGGTATAAAGGATAATGGGAGATTAATTCAAGGAACACTTTTTGCAGTTGAAACTGCATTGGAATAAGGAAATTCACCTCTTTAAAACTCCTGATGAAGCCAAGTGGGGTGTACGCATGTAAGTGCAGCACCTGGTACGTCCTCCTCGTACCAGGAGGACGAGTAAGGCATGAGCACCTCAACTCTGGCACTGGGGTGGGCTACATAGGAAGCCTCTAGCACAAAAGAAGAGAACCAAAACAACGATCCCCACACCCACACCCCCAGTCATTGTCTTGGCAAATAAATAGGCAAATAAATAGGTACTAAGTGAGGAGGACATCAGTGAGCAAAGGGAAATAGACCCAAGAAACCCCTGTAAAGCTGGGCGTGGAAGTAACTCCTGTAGAAACACCAGAAGATAAGGAGCAACAGTTAGCCTGACCATTCTGACCAAATCAGGCAGCCCCTCTCACGGAGTTCTTCCAACTACCCATGCTCTTGCAACCGCTGAAAGTAGCCCACCTACATTCATATGAAAGGTTTCCTAAACTGTTCATAGCAGAGAGAACTACCACGCCAAGTACTCGTAAATTAGACATACTGCCGACTTTTTTTCCTAAATATGATGGAGGTGGGGGATTCCTGGGAGTGAACCTAGACTTTTCACGTGCAAAACAGGGTCTTATGCCCCCCCCCCCCCCCGTTGATGAGTACAACACTGGTGCCAGGCCCTGGGTGTGAGTCTTATACCACAAGAAAACAATTGTCTTGGTTATTGTTCTCTTGCTTTGAAGAGACATGGTGACCAAAGCAACTCTTCAAAAAAGAAACTGTTTACGTGAGGGGTTATTTACAGTCTTAGAGGTTAGTCCGTTGTCCTCATGGCAGAACCCATGTAGTCCTGGTGCAGGAGAAGTAGCTGAGAGCTTTACATCCTGGTCTGCAGGCAGAAGGCAGGAAAGGAAACGCTGTGCCTAGGGTCGGCTTTTGAAATGTTAACGCCCACATGCAGTGACACCAAAGACACACCTCCTGATCCTTCCTAGTTGATCAGCTGAGGGCTAAGCATGCAAATATATGAGCCTGTGAGGGCTCTGATTCAAACCACCACAGCTGCTGTGCCTCTCTCCAATGAAGAATGAAGATGGCCATAATATTGCCTCAGTTTAATGTATTAAGAAGTTTTGCACCACTCTTGATCTGTATGAGAACTGTCTTAGGGCCTTCCGGCTGGGAAGAGATACAGTGAGTAAAGCCACTAAAAAGCCAGGTAGCTTGAGTTCAGTCCCAGGACACACATAGATGGAAGGAGAGAGAGCCAGCTGCAGAGGTGCCCTCCGACCCGCGTGGCCCCCCACATGCACTCACATACATACTCACAATAATGCATTGTTTTATCTCAAAAACCGTGTTTCCTCCTCACAGTGGTGGATGAACAGCACTAGCAATGTAAAGGCTAAAGAAAAACATTCTAAGAGGGAAATGGTGAGAAAAGGGGAAAATTGCCAAGGGAAGGAAGAAGGGGGGGAGTCTTTAAAACTTCCAGACGGACTGGGGATGCAGCTCAGATGGCAGAGTGCTCGCCTGACATGCGGGAAGCCCTGGGCTTATTTTCTGGTTCCACATAAATCAAATATGGGGTAACACACCTGTCACCCCAGCATCCAGGAGGGTCAAAGACAAGGTCATTCTCCTCTACGTATCAAGTTTGAGGCCTGCCTGAGATACACAAGAACTTATCTAAGTTAAAAAAAAAAAAAAAAAAAAAGGCCAGGTGGTGGTGGCACACCTCTAGTCCCAGCGCTCAGGAGGCAGAGACCAGCCTGGTCTACAAGTTCCAGGACAGCCAGGGCACACAGAGAAACTCTGCTTGGGGAGGGGGGGGGAGCAGAAAGTTTTGGAGGTTTTGTTGTTCACTGTAAGTATCAAATCCATGACCTTGCACATTCTAAGCGGGCACTGTACCGCTGAGCCACGTACCCAGCTCCTTCAGTGTTGGTTATAAGGGGCAGCAACTACCTGCTACTCAGTAATTACCTGTGCATACAAACAGACACACACAGAGACACACACACACCGTCAAACACACACTCACATACACACAGTCGTGTGTGCACACACGCTCAAGCACACACATTCCCGAGTGTGTATGGAGTTCAGCCTTTACTAGAATATAAATGTTTCAAGTTCAAGCATTGCTAAGCACACTTGACAGTTTTACACAGTAGTAATGCTTATTACTGACTACAAATTCCATCAACTGTGTATAAACTACCTTTCCCGCTTTTAGTGTTAAATAGGCTTAACAGTGTCTAAAGCTTGGCAGAAGTGAGAGATCAGTAAAGAAAAGGGGGGGGGGGAAGACAGACATGCTTATTGCATTCAGATAGGATCAGTTTTGTTTTGTTTTTTTAACTTGTGCTTCTGCTCAACAACAAAGTCTCATTCATTTGCGTTAAGCTGGGAATTCAACCGCTGCAAGTTTGAATTAAGGCAGTGTAAGTTAACAGAAATTGCTGTGTGTGTGTGGCATTCTGTTAGAGAAACGTCACGACCGAGATAGCACAGTGATAGCCATGACCTTGCTTGTGGGTTGCTCGTGGTTTCCGTGTGGACCCAGCTGGAGAGCAGCAGTGTGCCTCTGAGCATGCCCGTGTTCTCCTCGCAGCCCCAAGCATTCGGCAGCAGCAGTTGGACAGAGGCGTGCAAGACTTGTGATGGAGGAGTGTCCACCTGCTTACGAGACACAAGCAAACGACGCAGCGAAGGAACTCATCGAAAAGGTACTGGCTGTGCATTCCTCATGGTACACTAAACAGCAATTTCCTTTCTTACCTGAAACTATAGGGAACCCAGGCACGGTAGCCCGGGCCTGTAAGCCTGGCACTGCTCAAGGGAGGACCATGAGTGCAAGCCATCCTCAGCTATGTAGAGAGTTCAAAGCCAGCCTGAACTGCACAGTGAATTCCAGGCAGCCTGAGTTACAGAGTAGGACCCACAAGATTAGGAGAGCAGTGATGACTTACTGTACAGATTTTCAAACTGTAAAGCATGTGAGCGGAACTGTACAGAGTCTAACTCTGTGCAGCCAGGGTTCTCTGGAGGGGTGGTACCTTCAAGCTGAGGCTGTTTCCTACCCAGTAGCTGCTCCTTCCCAAGACCAGACGCCTCAGCAGTCCCAGTTGAATGCTGAAGTCCTGGAAGATTCTGGAAACCCACCGGCCTTGTGTGCCCTTCGGAAGGTTGAAGAAGCTGGGTTTAAACGTCAGCCAAAACTAGCCGCAGCAGGATGCTGCCAGCACAAACGAACTCAGCAGCACATGACAGCAAGGGAGAAAAAGCCTCGTGTCTCATTTCCTTTTATCTGGGCTGCCACCAGAAGCAGTGCCACATTGACGCCGGGTAGCCCCACTTCAGTTAAGCTGAGCAGGAAACTTCCTCAGAGGTGTGCCCGTCGGCTTGCCTGTTAATTGATTCCAGGTCCTGTCAGACTAATGTCAGAGGCTAGCCATCACAAAAACCTAAGACCCAGGAAGACAGAATAGGGCCAGCAGAAATTTCAGCTGCGTATTACAAGTGTAATGACAAAATGTGGAACGGGAAGCGTGAGAATGACTGTAACTTAGTCAGTGCTTGGGGGAGAAGGCACTTGTTCCCGTGGAGAATAGATTCCAAAAGTTTCAGGTGAGACAAAGAGTTAAAAGGTTTCTTTTTCTTTTTTTTTTTTAACTCAATAATATGAACTAACATTTATTGGTCACTATTATCTTTTTTTTATTAATTACACTTTATTCATTTTGTATCCCCCCATAAGCCCCTCCTTCCCTCCTCCCCTCCCGGTCCCACCCTCCCCCCCTCTTTCTGCATGCATGCCCCTCCCCAAGTCCACTGATAGGGGAGGTCCTCCTCTCCTTCTTTCTGATCTTAGTCTATCAGTTCTCATCAGAAGTGGCTGCATTGTCAGGGTTCTAGGTTATCTCCACGGATAGTCCTTGGTTGGAGTATGAGTCTCTGGGAAGTTCCCTGTGTTAAAAGGTTTCTTTAAATATGAAAAAAAAAAATCTGAAAGAAAACAAAAAAAGGAAACACATTTAATTGTGAATGGAGGTGTTGGCATAAAAAATTATGCTTTTTTTGAGAAAATTAACTTAAAAAGAGAACAAGGGAAAATTTACAATTAATGTATACCTTGGAAGCTGCATTAACAAAAAGAGTTGAACACTAAATGTAAATTGACTAAACCAAAAAAAAAACATATATATCATAATTCCATAAATATTCTAAATTGTTTTTAGTCACACTGGCATTCTCATAAGTTCTTAGCTTCTATTTGTTTTGTTGTGTGGTTTTGTTTGTTTTGTTTTTGAAACAGTCTTTGATAGCCTTGGCTGCCTGGAGCTCTCAGTGGTCCTCAGCCTTCCTAATGCTGTGACCCTTTAATACAGTTCCTCGTGTTGTAGTGATCCTGAACCATAAAACTATTTTTGTTGCTACTTCATAACTGTAATTTTACTACTGCTGTAAATCATATTGTAAATACTTTTACAGATAGAGGTTTGCCAAAGCAGTCTCACATGTTGAGAACCACTGATCGTGGACCAAACTGGCCCTGAACTCCTAGAGATCAATCGGCAAGCTCTGCCTCCTGAGTGCTGGGATTAAATCATACAGCACCACACCCAGCTAGCCTTTATTGAATTTGAATATATAGAGTCAAGGATCCAAGGCACTTTCTTTGAGGTAAAAAAAAGTTTGATAGAGTGAGACATGCAGGCTCACATCTACATTGAACAGTGTGGGGCGTAATTCCAGCAAGTAGGAGGCTGAGGCTGAGAGAGCCTGAGCTCCAGACCAACCTGGGATGCAAGGAAGAGAGAAAAAGAAAGTGAAGTTTGTTTCTGTTGCTGCTTTCAAGTGTGAATAGCCCATCAATCGGAGAAGCACCTGCGGTTTGTGTCTGGCCACTAAGAGCTGCTAATGACTGTCCCCATCTAGGTACAAAGTTTCCATTCAACCGCTGGTAGGAAAACTCCAGGTTTTAAAAAGTACACACACCATCTACTGCTGGGTCATTTCTTTTTCTGAGAATAAATCCGCTCCAGATAGCTTCTTTTGAAAACAAAAAAAAAAAAAACTAATTGAGTCTTGATAGATGACTGTCAGGGCGCTTGTTATGAATCTAACTTCCTGGCCACAGTTAAACACCTGCTCACCAGGAAAGCACTGTTGTTTCAGCAATTAGAGTAACGGGATTCTTCTCCAAGTGAGACACTTCAGAAGCATACACGTGGACAAGAGCCATTGGCGAATGCCAAATATTTTTTTTTTTTTTTGAACAGCGCCTTTGTGTGAAGACTTGTTGAACAGCTAATTTTCAAGTCAAACTTGAGCGATATATTAATGCCTCCTCTATTTTTAGTTTGTTTCCTTGTTTGTAGTACTGAGGATCGAACGCTCATGCCGAATACATGCTGGCGTTCTGCTGGGAGATTCCCACCCTTGACCATTCTATTTTTACTACTCAGTTTGCATTTTTTTTCTCTTGGGTCTTAAAACACTGCATTTAAACATATCAGTCCTCCCAGGCTGACAAGGCAGCCCAGGAGAAAGGCAGGGCTACCGAAGCTGACGACCTGAGTTCAGTCTCTGGGACTCACATAACAGAAGAAGAGGACTAACTCTGCTAGTTGTCCCCTGACCACTACATATACATCACACGCAAGTACCCATATGCACACAGGAGCGCACACACACAAGCAAACAAATAAACACATGTAATTAAAATGTGCATCCTCCAAGTTAGGATAAAAAGGACATCCATATGTTTGTTCACAGAGTTTTCAGGAAGAAAAAAAAAATATCTGTTACAGTAAGAAACATGTACTTGAATGCCCCACTGGAAGCAGTGCCTAGAGAGGACACTGGCCTTTCACTCAGAGAATGCCAAGCCCTCTCACACCTCACACCTCCTTCTTGTCACCCAGGACACCTGGGAGAGGGAAACTGTGTGGTTATGTCCAAGTATCCTACACAGCATTAACTCTAAGAATATGACTCTTAAGAGGAATGAGGCCAGGGCTGGCTATATTCCAGAGCTCTGGCTCCTGTCACCTTCCATCGCCCAGATTGGCTCCCAGTGGCCCCTTTGATTGTACTGCTCTTCATTTTCTTCAGTTCTTCCTGACTTTGAAAATTCCACTTCATCTTATCAGTGTTTCCATCTTCAACCTCCATCATAACTCTCTCCAGAATAACATTTAAAACTTTTAGTTTATATGTTTAAAACAGTGACCATGAAAATCCAACACTGCTGAGCCAGGCCTGGTGGTGCTCAACTTTAGTCCCAGCACTCAAGAGACAGAAGCAGGCAGATCTCGGAGTTCGAGGCCAGCACCGTCTACGGAGCAAGTTCCAGGCTAGCCAGGGCTACACAGAGAAACCCTGTTTCCAAAAACAAACAAACAAACAAACAAAAAATACTTCTACTGCCTTTTCACTTATTTAATGAGTGTTTATAGTGCACCCATGGCACCATGCAATACAGAGACGGAGAAGACACAGCTCCTGCAGGAGGAAGTATTGCCTTCTGAACACAGGAGAAGAAGAAGGGTCTCAAACAGAGCGGAAAAGAGCCTTAGGTCTTGGGCACTGTGTGCTTTTCGAGAAAAGGAGATGACACTCCCACAAGGACGTGAACAGAAACAGCACTGGACATGAAATCACCACTGCGAAGATCCCAGATCATCTCATTAACTCCATGGCGCGGGCCTCAGAGCTTATTTCTTCACTGACTGGCGGGATCAAATCCAGTCCTGAGTACGTGGCCCAGGTCAGAGGCAGCCATCATGCATTAGCACATTGGCAAGCTTCAGTACAGCTGCCATGAACTGGACTCATGTTTTACATATGCATATTTATAGGAACGGATCTCTTAACATCTTTGTTAACATTAAATAGTGCAGTGTGTATTTTGTTTTTAAATTAATGTCTTCTTTAATAGTGAGGTTGTGTTTGTTTTAGTTATTTTGGGAGTATTCTGGAATAATCTTTAATTTTGATCCAATTGGAAAGATCATTGTTAATAGTCTCCAAAAATCATGCTGTAAAATTACTACTTCTTGCCAAATGTGGCAGAATTTGAGAGAAAAATACGGTCCCATTTTGATCATTTCTAAAGCAGATTAGTTCTGTGTGACAAGTCACGCTTACGCTGAGACATGATCTTTAGGGGTCCTCGGCTGTTTCACTATCCAGTTTTTTGTATGTTCTAGCAACCTCCTTGAGGACTGAAGGTTAGTTGTCTGGTTTGAACATGGGCTTTACCTTGGTCCTGCCATCTCTTTAAAACGCAGATTAATGCTGCTGCTAGAAGAGGAATGAAATTTGTTGGGTTCGTATCACAGTATTGCTTGCCATCCAAGCACTGTAATGGAGCCAGCCATGATGGGGTTGCAGAGTCGGGCCTGCGAGTGAGACACGGTTCACAAGACAACTGCAAAAGCTGGAATGAGGGAGCCTTCAGTGGACACTGCTCTGAGAGTGGCGTGGAGGAGGAACCTCAGCATGAAAGCGGGCAGCATCCAGCAGAAGGAAATAGCAGCGCCGGCTGCTCTAAACCAGAGTGGGGAGAAGGTGAGAGCATGCGTGCTAAGAGTGTTTTCTTATGTCCCCCAAACTACATGTTTATTTTAAAGAACTACAAGACAAAGGTAATGTCTGCAGGCTACGAGGACAATGAACTAATCTAAGCTCGCGGGCTTGTTTTTATTATAGCCTGAAATAAGGCAGGGCAAATGCTGGGGCATTAGTTCTCCCACTGGCCCTGCAAGCCAGTCACCCGACCCGCCTCTAAAATGAAGGAAGTGACTTGACCAAGAAAGCAGCTTGGTTTACCACTGTCTGGTAAACAGAGTGTGAGAATCTCAGTGCAGGGCCTTCCCCACTTCACCCGTGCTTTTCACCTTTGAAATGAATGGACTGGCTTTGATCACCACTGGAATATGACAATGGAACATCATGATGAGTCAGTTATTATAACAATAGTGCCCACAGCCGGAAATAACTGTAGACAATAGTTTTGTTCTTGTCTGTCAGGTCTCAAGTATTCCCAAGAAACTAAGAGTATTTGTTTTTGACTGTGTGAAAGTTTCCTGACATCTTTGCAGGAATGTTTTCTTGCAGGGACATCAAGGAAAATTCAAGACCGTAAGCGGTAGAGTTAACGTGGGTTGTGGAGACAAAAGCCTCTATTGCTTTCTAAAAGGGGAACCTGCCGAGGCTCTCACAGGCCTATGAAGGGAAACAGCCCAGGGCCTGGCACTAGAGCTCTAGCACGTTGACAGCTGCACCCAGCCTTTGATCAGCACTGTCCTAGGAGGGCACCGTGGAGACTGGGCCTTGACATTCTGAGATACATGTGTGTCCTCTGCATGGCAGAGGCCCATTTGAGCACGATTCTCTAGAGGAAGAAGCAGGAGATGCATGTGGAACAGTGGACTGTTAAAGTGTTGTTGTTGTTGTTTTTAACTGGGGATTGGCAGAGGGGGTCTTTTTCTTTTTCTTTTTTTTCCGTTTTTTGGTTTTTTGTTTGTTTTTTAATAACTGAGGCCCAAACCTGAGACCTTGCTCTCACCAGGCAAGTTCCTGAATCCTCAATCCCTGCTAAAGCATTTTTTTTAAACAGTAAAATATTTAGGGTAAATAACTGTACATTTAAAAACTAAAAGCTTTTGGGAGAACAATAAATACCAAATTCATTCTGACACTTATTTTTAGAGGCTGGAATCGGGGACTGTATATTGCTAGGTACCTACTACATTGTAGCCTCCACTGTGCCCATTGTCTTATTTCCGTGAAGAAATAATTCAAAGCCAGTGTGACACAGTGCTAAGAGTTGATTGAGCTGAGTTGGGATGGGGAGAGGGAAGAGGTGGCTTAGTAAAGCACTCATCCCACAAACATCAAGCCTGCATTTGACGCCCAGTTCCCCCAGAGAAGGCAGATGTAAAGCGCATGCTCGTAACCCCGGCGCTGGACAGGTAGACAAGATGGCCAGATCGTGAGCTCCGAGTTCAGTTAGACTCCCAGCCCAAAACCTACGGTAGAGAAGGACACGCAACATCAGCCTCTGGCCTCTACGTGTGTGCGTATACCCAGGCACAGAACACGAACATGGACACAGATGTACATATATTTTTTAATTAAGTGGTGAGCATTTCTATTGTTTTCTATTTTTATTTGTGTGTTTTTAATGTCTCGTGGAGAACAAACTGTTTAAGAATTTCGAACAGTAAGATTGTTTTTCCCTTTTCCCTGAATGCTTAGTCCCAGATAACAAGCTGTACATGGTCTTCAATGCTTTTGACGAGGATGCAGCCTGCTGGACCTATCAGGAAGGCATCCTGTCCATGAAGGTGACACGGAAAGGAGCAGCCGTCAGCACACTTGATGCCAATTGGCTAGAGTTAACGACATTTTATTATAAGCAAGGCTTGTCTTTAATTGACTCTCTTGTATGCTGGGAGACACCTAAAGGTGAGTTTTAGGTTAGTAACATATTCATATGTAAGTAACCTGGATTGTGTCAAAACTGCTGAAAATATTTTTACCTTTCAAATTCTGTGGCTATAAGGATGGGTATAATTCTTTAAAAATATAGTCCAGTTATTGCACAGATTTGTAGCTTTAATTTAAAAGCCTTGGCCGGTGAGATGACTGAGTAGGTAAAGGAAGCTGCAGCAGGGCCCCACAAGCTAAGTTCAAACCGTAGGACTGAAGATAGAGGAAAACCAAGGCCCTAAGTTGAGCTCTGGCCTCCACATGGATGCAGAGGCATGCACGCGGCACACATGTGCCCATACACCTACAGCAAACACAGAGATAAGTAAAGTGTGTTTTTGTTGTTGTTATTAGGGTTTGGGTTTTGGCTTTTGGTTTTACGAGGCAGAGTTTCTCTGTGTAGTCCTGGCTGTCCTGGAACTAGCTCTGTAAACCAGGTTGGCCTTGAACTCACAGAGATCCATCAGCCTCTGCCTCCCAAATGCTGGGATTAAAGGCCTGCACCAACACTGCCGGCTAATTTTTAAAATTTTTAAGAACGCTTTACTATTTCTGGGCAGTGGCCAGCCAAGTATACATATTAAGATCCTGTTTTTTTAAAAACTACTAAAGCAAGCCTGGCCTGGTTGCATATACCTTTACTCCCAGCACTCAGCGGGCAGAAGGAGAAAGATCTCTGAGTCCCAGGCCAGCCTGGTCTACAGAGTGAGTTCCAAGATTGCCAGCGATACACATAAAAGCTGTCTTAGGAAAAAAGAAGAAAGAAGGGAGAAAGAAGAGGAGGAGGAAGGAAGGAAGGAAGAAAGAAAAAGAAAGAAAGAAAAGAAAAAGCTTTACTATTCTTAAGAGTAAATGAAAGAACCATGCTGGTGTGGAATTGTAATGTAACATTTGCTAATGTGTAGGAACCATCAGGAATAGACAGACACACCATGGGCGACCAGCCAATAGAAATTTCCAAGTACAGTGTACAACAGCCCAGTCAGGAAATTCAATGCAGATTCATAGTTAATATCCACTTTGATATGGGTACAATGTATGTAGTTAGTTTCTGGCTCTTTCTGAAATTTGTGAAGAAAATAATTCAGAGATGTGGACCCATTCTTTTGTGTTTCTCTAATTTTGAGTTATAGTGTAGTACATAACCAATCTTATCTATCACAAAAACAAACAAAAGAGTTTCCCAAAAATGACTTTAATGTTCAAATAAGTAAAAAGACAAATCGTGGGCAGACTGGAGAGAAAATGTCAGAAAGGTGGGAGCTGGGCTTGCTATGGCCTTTAAGCTCAGTGAGGTTGGAGCAAGGCATGAAGGGGAAATCAGACAGAGTGTCCAGAGACCACTCTGTTCTAAATCAGACACAACGCCGTGAGACCACTCTGTTCTTAAAGCAGCCTTCTAGGGCCTTCCCTGAGCTCTGCAGATGACCGGATAGAACTTAGTACGCCCAGGGTTCATGGTCCAGAAGACCCTTTCACCTAGAGCCCAAGGAGCACCTGAGCATGTAGAGATGCCTGGCACAGAGCAGGTGCTCAGCAAATACTCCCCAGGGTTTTCTGGTTACGGGAAACGTCTTCCGATTTGGTCTTCTTTGGAAATAACAAGGTTTAATGAAAAGAAAGAGGATTTTGGAACCCGATACACCAGGGTTGAACTTCTACTTTTCCTGACTAGCTCTGTGATTGGGGGAATTTGGGTGCTCTGGCAGGCTGTTTCCTGAAGGGGGTATGAAACTCTGTCTTAGCTGCTGGGAGGTATCAGTGAGGACAGGGCACGTGAGGCACCCAGCACAGAGGCAACACGGAGCTCACTTTCTGGGCGTCTTCCCTCCTGGCATGCATCATGCGCACTCTCATACTTTCCGTACGGATCATCTATTTGGAGACTGTTTTAGTGCTTCACAGTGTTTCTCCCCCTGTCTTCCTCTCCATCTTCTCTTTGCGGTGTCTAAGTCGGAGCCAGTTCTGGTTAGTGACAGACTGCCTAAGGAAAGCTATTCTTTGCAGTCTGTCTCAGGCATTCCTGCCTTGGGCCTGGCCTGATGAAAACAAAATTAGCTACAGCAGCTGCTTAGCCAGGAACCGGGTGGGGCTTTAGTTTTTAGAGCCTGGGAAGACTGTCCGTCTTTCAACACTCGGGAATGTCTTTTCAGACACAGTGGGATGCAGTCTTTGCCAAACCCGCACTATCCACCTCAGTCTATGGGGCCTGGACACTGGTGTGTCACCAGTACTTGCCTGGGAGTCCCCAGGGATATTGCAGAGGGGAGACTGGTCAGTGTGTGTGTGTGTCGTGTGTCACTGTGCAAAGCCAGTGAGAAGAAGCAGGGCTGGACTGGACTCTTGGTTCTGCGTGTTTGCTGCCTGCCATCCCACACACACAGGGGAACAATGCGTATTTTGCTGTGTCTTGATTCTGCCTTCATCCCAAATATTGTCAGAAATCAGTTCACAATGGAGAAAAAGAAATGCAGAACTCGACACTGCCCAGAAATACATTAGCTCACAAGTCACACTGGAGAAAATGCTCTAGAAACAGCAGTGGAGGGGAGGGAATACATTGCAAAGTTAGCTACCTCCGCAGAGCATGACACTGACACTGTAAGATCTATGGAATTCCTCTGCAGTGCCCTTCCACAGTCAGCCTCTTCTGTTCTGAACGTTCCCCTGAGGACACACACACACACACACACACACACACACACACACACACACGGGAGTGCAGCCTCCCTCCCCTCCCCCAGACACACTTTAGATGCCTCATCTTATGGCCCCCTTTGGATTGTTTGCGGATTCCCCTCCTTTCGAGGGACCTCAGGGAGAAGAGCAGTGGGATGAGAAGGTTGAAAGGTATACCTGTTTCTCTTCTGAGTACACGCTCAGGCACTGAGTTGGTAATAGTTTGAGCGAGCACAGGTACAAAGCAGGCTGTGAAGGTATCAGAACATCCGTACATACACACAGTTTCAAAAGTAAGAAAACTAAGAAAAGTAAGATGTTGTGGCAAGAGAACCAGGGGAAAAGCTACAAGAAAGAATGACCTGAGACTAACAGGATGGCTCGAGGTAAAGTGTTTGCCTCTGCCTCCGAGCCTGCCCACCTGAGTCCAGTTATCCAGGGCCCACAGGACAAAAGGAGAGAAGTGACTCCTACAAATTGCCCCCTGATCTCCACACATGTGCCATAGCATGCACACACCCACACACGTATACACACACATACACAAACACACATACAGGACGGTAATAAGCGCAGTGCAACTAGGAGGCTGTAGGGGCAGGTGTGTCAGAGCTGGGGTCTAGACCATTCAAGGCAGAGAGCGCAGAGCAAGAAGAACCTGGAAGGTCTGTGTGCCTGGAACAGAGCATGTAGGGAAAGATGGCTCTAGACAAAGTGGGACAGGTGGGCAGGGGCCATCCATCCATGCAGTCATGTGCATCAATAAGGCTTTGGCAAGAGCTGGCATATATGTTTTACTTGCTCTCTGCCAGGATTGTTGTACAACTTGCACAGAATAACTCATTTCATCCACACAGTCCTGTGAGAAATCTGATGCATACAGTCCCTAAATAATTGCCCACATTTGCACAAGTAGGAAGAAGTGTGGCCAGCAAGGTGGAGTATGTGCTCATTTTTTAATTAAGTGTGTGTGGATGTGTGGGTGTGCGCTTGCTACAGTGTACATGTGGAGGTCAAAGGGCAACTTACAGGATCAGTCCTCTCCTTGCACAGTCTGAGTTTTAGGGGTTGAGGTCAGATCACCAGGCTTGGCTGTAGGTGTTTTTATAGCCTGAGCCATCTCCCACACCAGAGGGTGTGATCTTAACCATCATGCAGGATACTGATTTCAGTTCATTAGTTGAATATTTTAAAAGGGAGTCACGATCTGATTTGCATTTTAAAGTTACCTTTTCTGGCCTCATTTGGGGACATAGACCATAAAGGGAAAGAATAGAGCGACTGCTATCTTAGTTACTTTTCTATTGCCATGACAAAACACCACGGCCAAGGCAACTCATAAAAATGTTTCTGTTTTTGTTTATTAATTTGGGACTTACAGTTGTAGCAGGTTAGAGTCCATGACCATCAGAGAACTAGGCAGCGCGCAGGCCCTGGAGCTGCAGCTGAGAGCTCACATCCTTATCAGCAAATCAGTGACAGAGAGCGAGCACTAACTGGGAATGGTGTCAAAGCCCACCCTCAGACACACCTCCTCCAATAAGGCCACACCTCCTAGTCCTTCCCAAACAGTTCCACCAACTGGGGACCAAGTATTCAAGTATAAGAGCCTATGGAGGCTATTTTCATTGAAAGCAACACAGCTGTTTACTCTAGCAGTCCTTAAAGAGAGGTTGACACTCATTTTGATCGGCCGTGCATCACAGAGACACGGCCTAGCGATGACCCTGCCCCACCTGCCCTTCACTTCACACCTTTGGAAGCTTAATAAGAAACATGGCCCTGTAAACTAAGACGCGAGTGTTGGCGATGCTCACATTTACGTTAATATCATTGCCGTATCTAGCTGACGGGTATGTAAGATCACATGTCCAGAAAGGCAACCATTCTTAGGGGAATCCTTCAACCTTGTGCTCCTTGAGCCACACATAGATACCCTTAAGGCATAGAGGTCACAAGGTCACCTTCCTGGAACTTTGAAGAAAGCATTTTCCCTTTCTTAAATTGTCTTTTTGGTTTTTGATTTGTCTTTACAGAAAGGGAAGCGGTGGACAGCATGTTATTTTTGTAGATACCATATTTGTTTTTGTTTTGTGGTGCTGGGATCAAACCCAGGACCTCGGCAGTGTGTGGCAAGCACTGTACAGCTAAGCTAATCCCCAGCCTCTGGGGTTTCACTGGGGGGAGGGGGTGAAGGGTAGGAGGACTGTGTTTCGCTCTGAGAAAGGGTATCATTAAGTTGCCCAAGCTGGCTTCAAATTTACAAGCCTCTGGCTGTAGCCTCCCAAGTGACTGAGATCACAGGTAGTACCACCCATTACCAATCAGGATGAGTGTATTTAATTTTAAGTGTTTTAGCAGGAGGAATTGTGTGTTTTGAGATGGTGTCGCACTATGCAGCCCTAGCTGGCCTGGAGCTCACTCTGTAGACTAGGCTGGCCTAGAATTCACAGAGGTTCACCTGCCTCTGCCTCCCCGGTGCACAGGCGCATTTAACTAGTGTTGGTGGTCACGAGAGAAAAAGATGGAGGGAAAAGGAGAAGGAGAGAGAGCAGTGAGTCATGCCAGGGCTTCCTAGAACATTTTCAGAGCGTGCACACAGAACAAGCCACCACTGTCAGATGTGGGAGAATGTGTGAATAAAACTCTGGGCAGGAGGGGGCGCCCTGTGTTTTTACATACCTGAAACCTGCTCCCAAAAAAACGCTGGTAGGCAAAGGCATGGGATGGAACACTCTGGGTTATCCAGTGTTATCTGCTACAGGCAGAACAGTGATGTGAAAACTGTCCCTAATAATTCCTCTCCCTGTTACCTGGAAACTAAACCCTTCTCCACAAAATCTTTCTTGCCACTCACCATTGTTGCCACTGATGTTAAGAACTCTCTCCCAGAACCATCAGACTCAGACGTAGGTGGCCCTAGCATGAGCACTGAGCCAGCCAGGGACTCTGTAGCAAGGACTTCAGTTTGTAAATGCAATAATCATACAGAGTGAAAGGCTTTCATCCGATGTGTGACTAACAGGAGCACACAGACTCGAGATGAGAACTTCATAGGCTTCCAGAAGGCTTCCCAGCCAGGGTAGGCCGTCTCCTCATCACTTGCCCAGGGGATGCCTGTTTTGGATTCTACCAAGACAGAATTAATTATTCCACAAATTGCACTACTTTGTTGCACTTGGTTTTTGAGACAGGGTCTCATTCTGTAGTCCAGGGATTCCTTCTGAGTCCAGCCTTGAACTCAGCAAAATCCTTTTTCCTTAACCTCACAAGTGCTAGATTACAGGCATTAGCTACCCCTACAGCTAGATTGTTTGTAGTCATGTGTATCTGGCTCCCTCTGTTCAACATAGTGTCTTCAAAATTCACTAACAATGTTACACTACAATGAGCCTCATTTTTTTTTTTTCTTATCTCAGTGTTGTTTGGACTGTACAAACCGGCTTTCTTGTAGACCAAGGGGTTTAGAAGTGGGTCAGTGAGATGGTTCCATGAGTAAAGGTGTTTGCACCCATGCCTGAAAACTGGGATCAGCATAGGGGAAGAAGAGAGCTGGTTCCCCCAAGTTGTCCTGTGACCTCCACAAGCACCTAGGTTGGACACACGCACACACACACTAGACAGACAGATGTTATTGTTTAAAATTGAAGCTTATTCCTGAGCTTGGTAGCACAAGCCTTTTATCCCAGAGGCATACAGATCTCCGAGTTTGAGGTCAGCCTGGTTTATTTAACAAGTTCCAGGATGCCATGTCTCAAAACAAAACAAAACAGAACAAAAGAAGATTAGAGGTGCTTATCTTCCTACACTGAACCCAAGAAACATGGTTTTCCTAATGTCATGTCCCAAAGGAAACAGAGGGACAGGCTGTAACTATGTGATTACTGCAATATATAATTCTTTTAAAATCTACAACCCCATTCTAAAAAAAAAAAAAAAAAATCCAGTTCTAATTATCCGTTCTAATTCTGCTGGTGACTGTGGTGCGACTGTGGGCACCACAGTGAAAGGAGGGTAGGGCACGCACTACAAGTAGGAAGCACCCCAGCTAGGAAATTTAACTTCCCTGTGTTTCTGGGAACCATCTCAAAAAGAAAAGTGCATTCTGCCCTAAATGCTAATGTGTTAAAAGAAGAAGGAGAAGGGGGGTGGACAAAAAGCCCAGTTGTGGTGGCCGATGGCTTTCAAATCCTAGCACTCAGGAGGCAGAGGCGGGTGGATCCCTGAGTTCGAGGCCAGCCTGGTCTACAAAGCAAGTTCCAGAATAGCCAGAGCTACACAGAGAAACCCTGTCTCAAAAAAAAAAAAAAAAAAATCCCCCCCAAAAAGGCAAGAACCAATTTGCTCGTATTTCAGTCTCTTAATAAAAATTAAAACTAAAAATGACATTAAAATTAGTGCTGTCTTCATTTTAAACTTAAAATGTCACGTGAAAATTCCTTAGCCTTTATTACCCTGTCGTCATTGTCTTCGTTGTTGGTCCGTGAGGACAAAGGGAGCGGGGGCGATGGACAGGGGCAACTTCCAGGACCAGCTTCTGGGAGTCAGAGCAATTTTATTCGGAGAGAAAGGGCATCGAACCTGTAATTTCCCTAAGGACATCCCTTATCCTCAGGTAGAGGGTGTGGGGATCTGAACACCCCACTGACAAAGGGAGTCCTCCATTTTGTGCGCTGAGCTCAAGGCTTTCTGGTCCTAGTAGACTGTGATCTTAGCAGCATGGGTTCCTAAAAAAATAGAATTTTTTTTTTTTTTTTTTAGAACAACAAATCATTTTTTAATGGAGATGGTGACAATAAAATAAAAATCATTGTGCGGACAAAGTAGAATATATGTTCCTTATTAAAATATAAATATACAGCGTGGATTATACTGGGAGCATATTAAGCAATCTATTCAACCAGGGTAGACAGGCTGACTTATCAGCACACCATGATGTGAGTAATTGGAATGTTTGGTTTGGTTTGTTGAGACAGGGTTTCTCTGTGTAGCCTTCATTGTCCTGGAACTCACTCTGTAGACCAGGCTGGCCTCAAACATTTGCCTGCCTCTGCCTCTGAGTGCTGGGGTTAAAGGCTTGTGCCGCACAGACAGGCTCTTTTTGTAGAGGGTTTTAAAATGAAAATATTTATTAAGACTTCTGAGGTGTGACCACGTATTTATAGACAAACACAAATTTCCTCGTTACAATGACTGTATACATCCAGCAATTTTAACAAAACAATTCTCTTTTGTATGACCAACAAGGAAACTTTGATGTAACATAAAACCCACAATGTTCACCCAGCACATGACCATGAGAAAAAATGTCTTCTATTGCCAAGTAGGAGACAAAAGAATCTCCATTAAATCCTTTAGTTTAGGCCAGATGGTTATTGTCAACTATTCAAGAGAAATGCAGAGAGGACTTCCTTAAAACTTCCTTCCCAGCAGGGGTTCTTGGACAATGACTTCTGTTAGCCTCTTCCTGTGGCTTTTGTGGGGACATGGGTTTTTTTAATGCTCTGAGGTAAAAAATTGCTCAGTGCTTCTAATATGAGTGTATGTGTGTGTGTGTGTGTGTGTATGTGTGTGTGTGAGAGAGAGAGAGAGAGAGACATGTCATACATGTGTGCACTTGCCCTGGCATGTGCACGTGGAGACTAGAGGTCAACATCCAGTTATCTTTCTCTGCCACCCCCCATCTTCTTTTGGGGAGCAGGGTCTCTCACTCTGTCTAGGCTGGCAGGTCAGCGAGCCTTGGATCTGCCTGTCCCTGCCTCCCAGGTCCCTCCCTCCGTTCGCACAGCCAGCAGCTTACCTACCGAGCTGTGTCCCTAGCCTTGCACTTACAGGGTTTTGGGTTTTTTTATTATTTTATTTTTATTTTTTGAGACAGGGTTTCTCTGTGTAGCCTTGGCTATTCTGGACTTGCGTTGTAGACCAGGCTGGCCTCAAACAGAGATCCTCCTGCCTCTGCCTCCCCGAGTGTTGCAATTACAGGCATATAACACCGCACCCAGCTGCACTTACAGGTTTTAAAGCTCTTAGCACACATTGATTTTAATATTATACGCGTAAGTTCAAGGACTAACATTTTTCATGTCTCCATTGATGATATAATACAGATCAAAAGCCAAAATGTTATTTCAGGGTGAAGCTCATTTCCAGATGCTTTTGAGATTGGCATTCCATCTGTGCTCACATTATTTAATCTTGTCTCTGTTGTGGTAATTTCATGTGTATGTTGGATTTTAATTCAGTGACATATAAAACCGTCTTTACCTATGGAGAAAAAGGAAATCTTAAAGCAGAAGAATTCAACCAAAATAAATTTGTCCTGTTTAAGTGAGGTTTTCCTGTAAAGGTTTTTTATTTATGTGTCTCTGTGTGTGTACATATCATGGGAGTCCCTAAAGCTGACGCTATAGGCAACTGTGAGCTACCCAGTGCGGGTGCTGGGAACTGAACTCCGTCCTCCGGAAGAGCAGAAAGCAAAGTTAAGTACTAAGCCATCTCTCCAGCCCATTTCTGTGTCACATAGCCCAGGCTGGCCTCAAACTTGTAGCTAAGGATGACCTTACAGTCGTAATCCTCCTATCTCTGCTTCCCAAGTCCTGGGATTACAAGCGTGAGCTGACTCACCCAGCAGCTGTCACTGTGAGATGGTGGGACAGAACCTGGGGCTGCTCGTGCAGACACACACAAGGACACAGCTTCCAGTTGACAAGTGTTTCTCACAGCTCGCTGTCACGGTGACCCTAAGGATTTGATGATCCTTAGAAACAGGTATAATTTACTTATGACTCTTCTGAATTGTGTCCTTTCCCTCACAGGGGACCATTCGCCGAAATCTTTGGAAGGGTTTTTTATCTATGAAGAAGAAGGTTGTGGAGTCCCAGGTTCTAACAGGAAGGGAAACGATGCCATTGTGGTGGAACAGTGGACCATCATTGAGGTGAGCCGCAGCTTCTGAGACCCTGCTCTTCTCTGTGTGTGGTTTTACATACTAAAGTCATTGCCAGGTGCGTGCGGTATCCTTAAACACAGATGGTCCACTGTCATCAAAATGTCCTCAAAAAAGAACGGACAACCTTCTATATGCCTTACCCATGTTGTCAAACATTTCAGTAAAATGAGCAGCAAAAATCGTCTGCACCTAAGTAGGTTCCCCCAAGTCTGAGATTTTAGCCCCAAACAAAATCCCCTGGTGCTGAAACCCTCACTACAAAATGCCTGGGTAGTTGGCTGGGAGTAATAATCCAGTCATCACCTAGTCTTTAACCTCTGAGGGCTCAACATGACGCACCTTTTTGACCTTAAGAATTGATTTTTGAAGTAAAAATAGCCAGAAGTTTTCTCTGAGGAGCAGCAGGCCAGCTGTGTGCACACGGCGGCACTGTCCTTCATAATCAGCGGCGGCACACTTGCTGGGATTGGGGAGTTACAACTTCCTGTGTCACCGGCCCCTGCTTTTGAGGGGACAGACACCTTCAGGTACCCCTGTTGAAAGCATGACAGGGTCTTTGAAGGAAACATTTTTACTATCTGGCCTTACAAAGGCCATAGAGGACAGAACTCATTTTCAAAGAAACTGAAAACCCTACAAAGGGGCTGGGGAAGGTGAGAGTCATAAGCAAGTGAAAGCAAACTCCAGTGAGGCAGGAACTAGAGCACGCCCCGGTCAGCTCACCCCTGTCAGCTCGCTGCCCTGCTCCCAGCCCCGTCAGCCTCTAGGCTGCTGCTGCCGAACCTGCTTTGTAAACTTGGTGGAACTGACACCCTAGGGAGCTTTTAAAATGCAGATTCCCAGCTCCACACATTAGAATCTGAGAACCACGGCTTTCCCAGGACCAAAGAAAGGCCTGAATGGCCACTGTGCCCTTGCTGTGGATTTAAGAAGGGAGCAGCTGTAGAGGATGGGGTTCCGGGGGCTGCATGGGCCCCATGGCACTGGACCACTGGCCAGACAACCGTCGCTGCAGCCCTGTCACCCCTCGTCCTGGCTGCTCAGCGCCGGGGTCTTTGTCCTCAGACCGTCAGCTCACATGCTTCTCCACACAGGGCTGTGAAGTCAAAACAGACTATGGCCCGCTGCTGCACACGCTGGCTGAGTTCGGGTGGCTTCTGACAAGCGTGTTGCCCACACCTATACTGAGACATGACAGGTAATGCCGGGGTATCCGCCTGCACCTTTAACTCTAAACCTGTTCCCTTGTGCACTAAATTGGCCAGTGCTTGTTTAAAGCCTATGAGAGAGAAAAGCTTCGAGTGTGGCTTCATGGAATTTGGAGGTCACCAAGTCCAACCCCTTCAGGTTGTAGATGTGTAAACTCTTGGTCTCTTCACTCTGGGTGCAGAGTTGCCCCAGCGCAAGCCAGGCTTAGGGCTCGAGGGCTGGGGCAGGCAGGAAGAAGACTGGCTACCTGCGCCTCCAGCTGCTCCAGGGTGACAGGTCAGCTGTCCCCTGCAGCACAGCCAGCTCTGACACGGGAATGCCAGACACTCACAGGTACGCACTCGCCTTTCCTCTCGTGCTCACCGACTTTCTTGGGAGGAAAGCTTGAGTCGCTGTATCTTCTCAATAGCTTTTGAAAAAGGCTGATGGATTCTCTATGTTCCCTCTCCCCTAACTGGCATCCTGAACGTGGCTGCCAGCCACAGTTGCCCTGTCTAGGCCAGTGACTGCCTACCTCAGGTGGCACAGTGCCCCAGGGGCCTTGTCATCATGGCTTCACCATCCACTGCATGTGACTAAGAAGAGGTGTGAGAACACCCTTGCCAGTCCCACCTGCCTCCTCTGTTCTTCCCTTTTCTCCCCAATGGCTGAACAGACTGTAAAAGCCTGTGATCGACATGGCTTTAGAGTAAAGCCGCACTTTCTCCAGGTGGGCACAGTAAGATGCCCAAGCTTAAAGATCAAAAGAGGAGTAGTGAGAGATGAACAAACCCAAGTAACTGCTCTCACACCGAGTGCCAACTCCCCAGAACATTGTTTCCCACCGTCTCCATCTGCCACACCCGTCAAGTATCAGTCCGGCAGTGATCCTTTAGTTTTCAGAGTGGGCTGTGGGAATAACCGGAAGAGCCCAGGAAAACACAGATGCTGCAGACCCACCCCAGTCGGTCAGTCAGAGGCCTAGAGGATGAGACCGAGGCATTTGCACCGACCCAAGTCCCTCAAATATGCAGACATTGAAGAACTTTGCAGGCAGCCGGGAGGTGGTGGGGCACGCCTGTAATCCCAGCACTTGGGGGGCAGAGGCAGGTGGATCTCTTGTGAGTTCCAGGCCAGCCTGGCCTACAGCCTGGTCTAGGACAGCCAAGGCTAAAACACAGAAACCCTGTCTCCAAAAACAAACAAACAGGAGGAGGAGAAAAAAATTTGCAGGAGCTTCTGAAAAACAAGAGCAGAAGGGCCATGGGTCCGCACCCAGTGTGGGGTCCTGCACACGCACCTTCTGAGCAGCCTCTGTGTTTCTGCCTTCAACCCATTTTTTTGTTTGTTTGTATGTTTGCGTTTTGAGACAAGGTCTCTCCATGAAGCCCTGGCTGTCCTCACTTGTAGGCCAGGCTAGCCCTGAACTCACAGATATGTACCTGCCTCTGTCCTGAGTGCTGGGATTAAAGGTGCATGCCACCATGTCCAGGTTTGGTTGTGTGTGTGTGTGTGTGTGTGTGTGTGTGTGTGTGTGTGTGTGTGTTTCTCTCTCTTTCTGATAGCTCTCCTGAGGGTCATTTGGCCTGATACAGCTAGAATTACAGACCTTCCAAAACGTGTAAATCCTGAACGTCTTCCTCTTCCCCTAAGGAGAAACACAGTTCTCCCTTGTCATTCATCCGGGGATTCCAGCTGGTCTCACTGTGTTTCCCACAGTGCCCTGAATGAATGGGCCGGACATCTGGCAGCCAGCCCACTGCTGCTGAGCTCCAGTGGCATTTCCTGTATCCGGTCAAGATCAGTTATGGAATGACAGGCCTAAGCCTAAGGGTGGAACTGAAATCGAGTGTGATCCCTGGATGCTGTGCCGTGGAGTAGGCTGTGAGACATGAAGCCAGACTCAACCCCTTTGTGGCGAACTGCATGAGGTCTGACTCTGCAGGCCAGGCCTTGGAGACCCCCTCATGTGAGGAGGGGCCGTAGGTCCAGAGCAGAGGGCGGGAGAGAGGTGCCAAAACTTTACCCTGCAAATTTCCCCTGTGCCCCAGACACTCTAGGCAGTGCGGACCCGTGGAAGTGTGCCTCCTCCTCCCGCCCCAGGGCCTAGCTTTACGTGCTTTAGAATGGCACTAAGTATGCGTTGCCGTAGAATCCTTTCTGTAATAACTGTTAAGGATTTGGGGGCCTGGAGAGAGAGCTCAGTGGTTATGAGTACTGCTACTCCTCCAAGGACTCAGGTTTGATTCCCAGCATCCACATGGTGGCTACCCAGTTTCAGGGGATCTGACGCCCCCTTCTGGCCTCCTCAGGCACTGCTTGCATATGGTGCATTTATGCACAGACAAAACTCCCATACACATAAAATAAGTTTCAAATTTTTAATATGCTAAGGGTTTAAAGGTACGTTTTAGGACAGTATTAGAGAATAATCCTGATTTTATAGGTTTTGAATATGTCTAGCAACCCTTGGAACAGCTTCACGGTGGTTCTAGAATATATTCAGTTCTGGAGACTATAAGAGGAAAAGGGGCTTCTTTGCTTCTATTCAGTTCTTATTATTTGATGTTTTATAATAAACTGACACTCTCCAATAATTTTTAAATGAAATTAAGAAAGAAAAAGTCAGCCTACCAGTGGAAAGCTGCAGAAGCTTCCATGGTGCCTGGTCCTGATGTCACTTAGGAGAGAGTCAAGTTTACATTTGATGCAGTGTTAACACAGCCAGGGGCTTGCATCCTAGATGGGGCAGGCCAAGCTTATGAACTTTGTAATTTAATACAGCAGTTAATCAATAAGCTACTTTGTCCATAGGTCCCAAGGAAATATTTAAAAGAAGAGAGATTATGAATATCAAAATAAAGTTGGACCCTCAAGTCCTGAGGACTCCAAGGCAGGAAGGCAACAGAAATAAATAATGTCATAAAGATACGTGTTTACACCAGAAAAAGAAATGTCAGGCTCTTTGGAGGGCCTGTGCCTGAAACCCTATCAGTCGGAGCACTGTCTGTCAACAGGCCCTCCTTAGATCCAGGATTTCAGCTTTCCCTGCTCTTCTGTTGCCTGAGCTGTCCCTGAATGCTCACGCAGGGCGTTCCGGCTCACGGAGGTTACAGCCGCGCTGTCATGGAAACAGCATGAGGCTGTAACCCACGGTCCCTACACTCTTCCAGGTTATTGCAGGCAGCCTGAAAACAGAAGTCTTTGTTGTCAGGATTGGCATGCCAGGAGGCGTGCCGGTCCTTTCCTACTGGAGAAGCCGAGGTGAGAGCTGCCACGAACATTGGCTGAGCACGCAGCACATATTACTCGCTTAACCAACGGCGTGGGTCGCACGTGTAGAGACGGCTCAGCGGTTAAGAGCGCTCGCTGCTGGAGAAAACCGGGGTTCGGTTCCCGGCACCCACGCAGTGGCCCGCAAGCGTGTGAGTGCAGAGCTCAGAGCACTGACATGCTTGCTGGGGATACTGAGGGCCGCGTCCCCTGAGGCTTCCGCAAAGCAGGAGGGCGCTTCCCTGTAAGCCCCCCACAGAGGGCTAAGCTCAGGATGGTCGTGGGGGCCCAGCGTTTGCCAGCTTACTACACACACTGCGCTGCCAGCGCTGCTGGTGCTTCCCGGCCCAGGACTTCGGTGGAGCTGAGTTTGCAGGGTTCGGCTTTTGGTTGTATTTGTTTTTGAGACAAAGCGAAGCCTCCCGTGTAGACCAGGCCTGCCCAACGCAGGGTCCCCCTGCCTCAGCCTCCTGGGTACTGGGATTACAGAGGTGCCCAGTTCCTTCTTTTGATATTCACATACTAATACCCAAAAAAAACAAATCAGGATCATAGTGGCCGAGGGACCATGTGACTAGGTAGCTACAAAATTACAAGCTGCAAATTCTATAAATGTTTGTTTGTTTTTTGAGACAGAATCTCAGTATGTAACCTTGGCTGTCCTGGAACTTGCTCTGTAGCCGGGGCAGATCCCAAATCCCCTGTCTTCCCTCACCCTCCCAAACACTGGGGCTTACCCGACTGTGGTAAAAACCAGCAGTGGGCCTTTTTGGTTTCTTATTTTGAGTTTGTTGTTGGTTTGTGTGTTTGCTTAAGAGGAGCCCTCGTGTAGCTTCAGCTGGTGTCAAACTGCTTATGTAGCTGAGCCCCGGCTGTGAAGCCCTTGCCTCCTACCTCCATCTCCTCAGTGCGGGGATCACGGGTGAATTCACCACACAGGCTGCATGCCTTTAAGACCTTTTACCTCACATGTGACTAAGTGGTCAAAGACAAAGCCGTTCTTTCTGTTTGGTTGGGTTGGGTGAGTTCAATTAGGGCTACTTATAAGGGAAAAGGACAGGGCTCATTTACAGGCACACGGGCACCTCTGGGAGTCCGTGGTGCAAAGGTCTGTTCCCTGTGTTGCTTTCACAGACACAGTTATGTCTGTGTGCAGCGATGTGGGTGTCTGTTCTGCACATTGTCGGCCTACGGCGGTGTGCACGCCTTCTGTTGGTGGTTGTGGACAGCCCTCTGAGCTCAAGCAGAAGCCCTGGTGCGCAGCCCTGGGCTCCCTGTAAGCAGTGCCGGGTCATCGGGCATTTGTTTAGTTCAGCTACATGAGGGTCAGGCTGCCCCAAATAGGTCGCTTCTGGTTATACTCGCAGCAGGGTAAAGTGTTCCCTCTTCTCAAGCATGAAATACCACTTCACAAAGGTGCCATTCTGGGAAGTTCGTAGTGATCTGTGCAGTTTCCATGTGATTGAAGATTGATTGATTTATACAACATTCTGCCTGTATGTATGCATACACACCAGAAGGGGGCACCAGATCTCCTTCTAGATGGTTGGGAGCCACCATGTGGTTGCTGGGAATTGAACTCAGGACCTTTGGAAGAACAGCGTGTTCCTAACCTCTGAGCCATCCCTCCTCCATGTGTCCTTTCGTTGTTTGCTTTGTTTTTATTTTCTGTGTTCCTGTGTGTGCCTGAATATGTGTGTGTGTACCGTGTGAGTGCAGGCCCCCACAGAAGCTGGA